AACTGCAGACTCTTGCAAATACTTTCAGATTTAACAAATTTTTTTCTTCTTTAATTTTGTCTGCCCCACTTCTTAACAGTACAAAAGCAGGAACTCATGCATACATAAGTTCTTCTTGAGCCCAGGAATACAAGTCACATGCCCTTAATTAGGAATACAGTCTAAGTACCAGTTGAACTGGAGTCTCATAATATGCATGGGATAAAGCATGCATTTTGCTCTGATAATCATTAACATCAATAGGAATTCCACAGCAAAACTACATCCTCTAATGCCCAAACAGTATTGCTCGTCTTTGCAGTTTTCCCTGACTTGAGAAAAAAACCTTGAGTAAGCAAAAAAAGTGTAAGTTTGGCCTAGGCAGAACCAGTACATCATCCTAGTCCCTATAACAGCTTACTCAGATAAAAGGTTAGAGGTGCACTTGCTCGATTGCCAACAAACCTAGGGTCAACAAATTTTTAAATACAAAATTAGATTACATGAATGAAAATAGCTTCAAATGGAACTACAGTTTGTTGCCATGTTCTCACACTTTGTTCCTCTTTTGAAGAGGCAATGAAGATATATAGTGTACAAAATCTAATAAACTTGACATCTCTGCTCCCACCTGCAATTTGGAAAGGGAAGTCTATTCTTAATTGGATAGTCTCTAAATTATGCCTAATAATATCTATAATTACTGACCCAAAGTGGTTATGTTCATCACATACTGCCACTTCCCTGAATTTATTTTTGTGACTACACATGAAAAAATCGTTTTGCTTCAAAATGGTTATTTGCAGGAATGACAACTATTTTATGCAAGGAACTAACAAAGAATCCATAGTGGAGGTAGATAGATCTTTGTGCATCTTACCTGGATGAGTATAGATACACTTGTGACAAGGAAACCACCAGCATAAATAAACTAAACAGGACTGATATTGTATTTTAATGTTCATAAGCTGCAAGTTATTTGTTAAAAAACCTCACAACATCACCCAACAGCAGTTTAGGTTAGCATCTCGAAGTAATACAAAAGAAATATACTCTGGGGCCTCCTGCATGCTGGAAACTCCCTTCTGATCCTTCACAGTGATGATTCTTTCTCCGCTTCTAATACTAAATTGAGTATCTGAGAACGCATGAGGTTACCTGAGGAACTCCTTTATACTGGAGCTAGTAACCCCAGTTGACAGCTCTGTGTGGAAATATGTCACACGAATCAAAGGGCAACTTGACTGAAGTAGTGCACTTATTCTTCAGAGACAAATAACTGTCTTTTTTTCTACAGAAGTACAATGACAGTATGCAAAAGTAGCACGCAGGAATAAAGACAGGTTAGGTGCTATATAGGGAGCGGCTGGTCCTCTCCTGCCCATGCATTATCTTAATTTTTTGAGAATTTTTCTAACTGAAGGTTTGGTTTTAAATGTGAAATCATGGACAACCAAACCTATGTGGGCAAGGAATTCCTACTAGATTTCTACAGATAACTAGTCTATTTTTAAACATCACTGATAAAGGTTTTGGTGTTGGCTTTTAAGGAGAAAGGCTGGCTTGTTTCCTTGAGGGCTGGGATGATGCTTTTTGTATTTTACTTTATTAACAGATACTTTTACACAGTTAATGCATTAAGTAATAGAATGACATGATATAACTAGCTAAGGTAAATCCTAGTCTACAGGTGATAAAAACAGTCACTTAGTATTTATCTCCATGATTTAGGTTATATTAAAATCTAAATTTCATAAAGACTCAATTGTATTTCTCAATACGATTGCGCTCTGCATCAGCAGATTATTGGAATAAAGTGCCAAAAACCATTCTGTAGAAGAATGTCAACTTTTCTTCCATTTTTGTGTTTATTTCATGAAATGGTCGATCATCCCTCTAATTTAATGTAAGAATTAGCATTTTTCTGCATAGCAAAACAAAATTTCATCATACTATGTATAGAAAAGCCTAGGACTGAAAAATTAAGAAGAAAGAATGTACCATTTCCCCAAGAACCTTCCTAATTAACTTGAATTTCTATATTGAGAAAAGTAAACATCTGACAGCTTTTACAACCCCATTAGACGTGTACAATATCAGAATAGAGTGGGTGACCTCTGCAAGACCAGGAGACTAAAAGCAAATTTCTAATTAAATTGGGAAGTCAAATTAACTATCTCCATAAAATGACGATTTTTGTTCTAAAAATCTAATAGTTGCTGAAGGGAGAATCAAATGCCCTGACAATTTAAGAAGTTATAAGGTGATTTATTATGATTCACATCAGAAATCACAAGTAAACTGAAATGCCACTTGATTTTCTTTCCTTCAACGAGTAAATGAAAACATGATAATTATAAAAAAATTAATATGACCCTTTCTCACATCGTTCTAGAAAGTGAAATTAATTTGGTACTGCCATTCAGTTTCACAGCAGCTCAAAGACTTTGGCAGCAGAAAATGATACAACTCTGTCAAAGTCCACAGTAGTTCAACTTATGTTTTTTAGAAATACTTTTCTCACTTTTTCTGTCAATTATATATACTAAAGGCCAGTTGTTTTGAAAAAGAAGCTGATGCCTTTTCAAAAGATGGTCTCATTAAAAAAAAAAAATCCAGATACAGTCCTGTGAATAGCGTAGTGCAAAACAGAGTTGAAATCCAAAACTTCTTTAAAATCAGCTTCAAACTGCCAAAGTCCACTGCATTCACTAGCTTCAGCCCCATGCTTGTTAAAATATGGTGAATGTGACACTGAGTAGCTGCACAACCGAAAAAAAAAAAAATGGGAAAGTGTCCCTCTCTCCAGCTGACTTGACTGGCTTCCTTTCAAAAACTTTTTCTTGCACTCAGAATTTAAGTGGGAAGAGGTCAAAAAAAAACAGTTGTGTGGCGGTTCTCATTGAGGGCTGTGAAGTGAACTCAATGTCCAACCGCTGCCCCATGACTTATTTGATTCTTCTAGGAAACAAAACTGCAGCCTAAAGTTTATCAACTTCTTTCCAAATTCAGCCCAGTAGCCCTCATGCAGCCTCAATATACAGTCAGAATTCTTACGTCAACTTGGTGAAAACTAAAAGAATAGCTTTAAAACCAAGCAGTGTGACTGACAGATAGGCTGTTAATCAAGGAAATTTTGCTTAAAAATAATTAAAAAAAACCAACCCAAACACACATACTCTCATGGGGACATACTAACACTTAAAAAGAAAACTGTCAAATTAAATGAAAGTCTCATCCATAGTCAATTTAGGTAGGCTAGCAGAATTGTGTAAGTATATTAGATTTTATATGAGGAGTCTGAGAATCAAGAGGGTTTTTTTGATCAACTTGGCCTAAGACAAAATATGTCCGTTCTCACTAGCTTCATTTTTAATAATAAATGGCTGATATTTACTGTAGCAGAGATGCACTTTCTCATCCCCTTGACTAAAATTAGAGTATCCCATACTCATTTCTCTTGCTCTTCCATATACTGCCTAAAAGACCTTGTTAAAGGAGATGCTTTTTTTTGTACATGGACTGAAGGTAATGAAGATGTACCGTAAGTCTTGTATCTTGTAAAGCTTGAAAAGATCAAGCTAACGCTCTCGCAGACTAAGTTGGTGGACAGTACAGATACATTCTAACCAATCTTAGAAAGGAAGGAAAACAGATTTGTTCTGCTCACAGTCAGTAATAACCAAAACATATGCAAAGTAAAGTAAGCAGGGCACATCCACAACTAAAGCCTCAATGCTGTGAGGAGGCAAGGGATGAGGAAAACACAAGAGATGACAAGTTGAAGACAGAAGCAAAGGGAGACCACAAGCTAAAGGGAGAAGAAAGGACGGGACAGAAATTCACCAAGAACAGAGATGTATTGCGATACAGCATAGCAGGGAGAACTGACAGAAGTCCTGGGAAGCAGTGAAAGAAAACAGAAAAGGAAGGAACAAAGAGGAACTGGGAGATAGAAAGAGAGTAAATGAAATGCACAGAGATACACTAGTTTCTTACAATCACTTGTCCTAAATTATCTTCGCTTTAACTAGGATAGGAAGAAAGTCTCCCAAGTTATAGCAATGTTATGGAACAGAGGCAAGCAAGTAAACAACAGCTCATCCAAGCACAGCAAATGAAAGTAACATAGCCAGCTTCATCATCACAAAGACTAGACTAGACCCTATGGTCTTTCACAGCAGTCTTCATATTGTTAAAGTTCCCATTAAATTTTATTTCCCCTTATTATCTACTGCAGTAAACATACAGCTATTGCCTGCAGAACTGCAAATCTAATATTTGCTCTTTGGCAGAAACATTATATACTTCCCAGAGGCCAGCCATGAGGCAGTTTTTATCATTAACATTGAACTTGCACATGTCCTAAAAATCATGCTAACTTCCACTTAAGTTAGGGTTAAAGAAAGTAATGGGTTAAATAAAGGAAACCACATGCATTGTAAATCTCCTCAGTTTATTTCTAAACTTCAAAACTTTTCAGCTGCTATTTATATTGTACAGTAGTTCATTAACTTCCAGAAGCTATAAAGGCCTATAATGAACATTTAAGGTTAAAAGGCAGGCTTAAAAATAAATATGATACAGTAAATCCAATTTTTTTTGAGACATTTATGTGGTGCTACTAAGATGCTATTTCATGCAGCTACACTACAAGACTGATGTATTTAAATCTCTTTTTAAGGATTAGAAATTGTCACAGATATTATTAACACTTGTAGCTGTGTGAATGCAAATGTCGGAAAAAACTAGGCAGGATGCAGCTTAATCTCTCACCAGCATGCTTAATAGATTTTTGAATATTAGGGAGATTTTAAGTTTGGCAGCAGGACAAACTTCCTAGACACATTTATAAACCTCCTGGCAGATCTAGAACTGCTTAGCTTCCAGAAATCCTACTTAAAAGCATTACCATATTAATTGGTTATATGTCAAAAATGGAAAATGAAGATGTTCAAAGTACCTTGTTCTTTTAATATTTATACGACAGAAAATAATATACAAAAATTTTTAACACTCACAGTTGCCACCTGTTCTGTTACTCCTTTGTCCCAATGAGTTTTCAGATTCTTTGTATGGAAATTGAAGAGTAGTATCCAAACTTCGAAAGCCTTCTTTGAGAGAATGGTGCTTATAGTATTCTACGAGTTCCTTTCAGAAAGGAAAAATACTATGTCATTGGAAATTGAAATTACATCTTTTTCAACATTCTGGTGTACAGTCAATGACAGTTCTATCATACAAGTAATCTTATTTTATAATACAGCCACCTACCGTACATATTTTTCTTTAAAAAGTCAAGTATCCTTAATACTGACTGCTTTTACACTATCACTTCACTGTTCGTTTTTGTGGTTTGTTTAGTTTTCGTAGGGTTTTTTGGTGGTTTTTGGTGTTCTGTGCGTTTTTTTTAAGTTAAATCTTATTGTCAGAGTCAACACTCATTGCTCCTTTGAGTCAGGTTGAACACGTATTTGCTTTTCCGAGGTCATGTAGAAGGCAAGATCAGTTGCTTGTTAAGTATATAAAAATACCTATCTTTGTTTTCTCAAATATCTTTTGCAATGATAAGTGATGTTTATCCACATACGCATTTGTAAGTACAAAGATCAAAAATAAAGCATAAGGCTTGCATATAAGCAAATAAGTCAACAGCAACTTAATGAGCAGATACACAGACCATGTAAAACTTACAAGGCTCTGCCATTAAAATTTGTGGGTTGTTTTTGTTTTGGTTTGGTTTTTTGCTTGGGGTTTGGTTTGGTGGTTATTTTTTTTGTTTTGGTTTGGGGTTTTTTTGGTTGTTTAGGCTATTTGGTTTAGGGTGTTTCGTGGTTTTTTTTGGGGGGGCGGGGGGGGAGGTATCAGACTGAAAAATCCAGCATTCGCATTATTCTTGGGCCCAATTCAAAAATTTGTTTCTGTGTGAGTGCATATATATAAATATACATACACCCATGTATATATGGAGACAAATTTTATATATATGCACACAGATATACATGAAAATATAAAAGTCTGGCTCAAATAGTTATGTAACCAAGGAAATAATTTACCTTAGTTTCCATTCTAAAGAAGGCAACACCCATCAAAATACTGACAGCTCACATTATTCCTTTGCAATCTCCAACCCCTGCCATTGTCTCTTACATTTGAATTGACCCTAATAATGTCAATATCATACGTTTGTACACAGCGCCTAGAATAACTTTAAAAGGTGACCAGACAACTCAAAGCAAATATATTTCATTTGATGAATGATACTTCAACTGTGGAATTTCACTCTTCATTAACACAAGCACAAAGCAATGTATTTACTGTAAACCCTTCACTTCTACTAGTAACTGTCATTCCATTCTACTTACTTACATTTAGATTTCCAAAATCAAAGCTGACCAAGCCAAGCTTAGGTCAGAATAAAGAAATAGTACTGTGTTCAATCATTTTCTTCTAGTTAAAAAAAAAAAATAATAAAATCATTAGCTTACAGCAGCCTACATCAGTTCAGCAATATATTAATTCCAGCCAAACAAAATGACTCAAATTATTTGGTTCAAGGTCTGTAACTTCTTGATAATGGTCTGAAGATTATCTTCTGAACTGAACTCTGGAGCATTTCACTCCCCACGCTGCAAGCTGTGGCATGTCTCTGAAACTGCTTCTAGGGCAGAATCCAAAGCTAAGTAAAATCTACACCTGCTTTTAACAGTTCATAATCACAGGCCTGCCCATGCACTCCAAGTAAGAAGAAAGGCCAGGAGACCGAGAACTGTTTGAGCTTTGCTGTCTGCTATCAGCACAGTACGCAAGCTACAATGTCAGCAACCAAATCATCTGTCACATATCATCACCGAGCGCCCAGACATTAAAATTACAAAGGCAACAGAGAGTGATTTGTAAGTAAGCAGCATTCGAAATAGGATTTCCAGATAAGTGGAAAAATAATTAGTATGAAACTTTTGCTACCTTTTTGCACCATATAAATTCGTAAGAATTATGCTGGTTGGTAAAGATAGTAAGAATTTCAACTGGACAGATTTTTTTTGTGGCAAAATAAGTAAAATGGTTCCAAACTGAGAAAAAAATTTACTTTGGGTCACAAAGATTCAGTTGCTTTTAGAAGCTTAGTTTTTAATACCATTCTTCCACAAAAACAGTTGACAAACAACTGGCCTCTAAAACAATCATTGCATAAATCACAGTAGCAAGCTTACAAACAGCTAAGTAAGGTAAGTAGCCCCTGCCAATATGGATGGGGCTCCTCAGGAGTATCATGTTACCGTGATTCACATCAGCAGCAGAGCTGAACTTTCACTGCACCTTGGCCTGCTTTACACACGCAGCACATTTTAATTACTCTTGTGAAAGTTTTTCAAAAGTACTATGAAAACTATGTACAAGAGCTGTGCTACTTTTGTTACCTCCAAAGTAGTACAGAACACTATGTCACTGCAGATCACTACTTTAGGTTTCCATGGCTGCTGGCTTTGTCTCTCTTCTGCTCTTAAACTACTTTTGTTCCTCTCTTCTTCCAGACACTTACTTTTTCTCTTGCATCTACTCAGAACAAAGCAGTTGTTCCACATCATACGCAAACAGTACTTACACTATTACTTGGCTATTTAACTCTCAAGGGCAGACTTCATCACACCCTAAAACTGAGTTATGAAATGACTTTTTCCTAACAATGTTAGCAAGGCTAAATTCGTAGCAATGAGGCCTTTACACTAGAAATTTCTTTTGACCTCTCAATTCTTTGATGCAATGCATATTCTTTTTCGTTTGTTGTTTGGGTTTTTTTAATCTAAGTTTGTGTCCTGTACTTTATCTCTCTGATCATCCAGCTCCATTTTGAAACCTGCATCGGCGCATTAAATGCATCATTGCTGTAAGAAGATATCTGGCAGCATGTGACTCCAGCTCACATGCTTTGTCAAGATCCTGAGAGCACTCAGATGTTCTCATCAGTTTCCACTGAATCAATTGTAGTGTTTGCAGACTAAGTAGCCACTTCCTTAATACATTTGAGGAACACTACGATTTCTGTTGCTACCTAAGATAAGATCTCAGGGTCCCTAGCCCTAACACTAAACACTTCCACTAGTTTTTAAGTGTCAAATGAAGACATTACAGTGCAGAAACAACTTGGTGCATTTTTCCTCAGGAAATTTATGTTCTTTCCATTCTAATGAGCACTTATTTCAAACAGGGTCAGGCGAAACATAGATTTGTGTTTGATTTCTCACCACTTGTAGGATGCTCTTGCTTTACAGAGTATCAGTAGTTAAATTAAAGTAATTGCTAAGGCTTCCTGGTTTTAAAGCTTCTCTCCCTACTCTTGTTTTGCATTGTTCTTCATTTTTATTTATCGTTTTAAAGTACTTGGATATGCATGCAGGAAGACTGCAGCATAAGTTTTAATCCAATTGATTGCACTAAATATAATATATTGAGTCAGTTTCTTTTAACAATGCATCAGAAAATGCTTAAGCAGTAAAATTCTACAAATGCACTAAGTTAATTTATTCAGACATCTTGTATTTATGAGTCTTGTCTAAGCAAAATGAGCTATCAAGAGATTCTTTCGAATTAAAGTTCAAAAAAAGGTATTTCTTCCCAGTACAAGATGACTCTGACATAACATTGAAAACTCACTGATATGGGCAGTTATAACACCAAACTCTTATTTCTGGGAATGAATTATGCCTATAGTTGGAGTGGAAGTTAATAACAGAGTCTATATTTTGTGTGTTATTACTATAGTTTGCTAGTGAGTGGTTTACTGCCACAGATTCTAAGTTTGAAGTAGCCACACAATTGCTTTAGACTAGTCAATATTGACTTCAGATTACTATTATTCCAACAAATATCTTTAAGCTATTAGTAGTTTAGACAGCCCCATTCTCCAACTGCACTTCTTTGCCTCATGCACTAGGAACAGGAAGACCAGCCTCTCCCAAGTGTGTCTGCTCTCTGACACAGCTGCACCTTATATCCTTCTCCCTCTGAATTTACACATCAATAGGCATTATGCTCAGCAGTACCTGTGTACACGTGCTAGGCTGGGAAGGAACCTTCACCTAGCTACTCTTAGGGATCATTACTAGATAAAGATTTCCAAAGACATCAAATTCCCCTTTCCAGATTGAGCCTAACTCCCCAGCGGGATTCAAATTCCTCTTCTCTTCTACATCACTGCAAGGGACACAGTCCAGTCCTGAATGAAAATATGTAGCTTTAAGCACATACTACCATCACTTAGAGCATAAACCATAAACATAAAAAATTATCCTATTAGCAGATATGGACACATTTCAAATTCTCACTCTCACGGCCTTCTGTAATTTTACAAACCAAAGTAGCTCTCACTAATAGCAACAGCTACATAGAAAAATCGCATATCGTAAAAAACCTCATCAATGCTTACCATTAAATTTTTAAATTTTCTGTTTTCTGCAATGTGGAAAAAGCCATCTCTTGTTAAAATCTTGATGTGTTTCACTTCATTATTGTACCTGTGGGCAATGAATAACTTGTAAATATAAATGTGTTTTTAATCAGACACAATCAATAATCACCTGAGGGCATGCCCCAATAACACCACACAAAAATTGTTAAGACAAAATGTTTATCTGTGCCAAAACAAAGTTGACATCTAATTAACTAAATATATTTATTCAAGTACAGCTGAAGAGGTAAGCTGTATTCATAAAAAAAAAGTCATAAAAACTAACTACTCATTCTCATTAGGAATCCCCATATATTTCTTACTTTTATATTCATGCTGATAAACAACATGAAGGCAAAAAAGACCCTCCATAATTTGCATCCACAGAATTTATAAACCTACATTTTACTGAAATGTCTGCAATGCAAAGGGCTTCAGCAAGTTCTCACTGAAGTCAAGGAAACATTCTTATTCACATCAGAGACACAGATCACATTGCACTCCACACACTTGCCTACTCTTACCCAATATACTAGACCATCATTTTTGTATACCTGTTTGCTACACCAGCATTATAAAACCATTGCTACCCTCCTACTATAAATTTTGGATGTTTCTGTCAGCATCTTCAGTTTTCCTATATTGACTCTCGTAAAAGCTGTGTATGGTTATATAAATTGAAACAGATTTTCCTTATTTATTTCAAATATTATCTAGACATAGATGAGAACAGGAAAGTTTTCTGGAGATCTTATTCCACTTACTTAATACTAATTGCATATTCTCCTGACTCTTTGGTCCTGTGCCGCACCAAGTAAGTGCTATTTACTCTGTTAATAAGTTCACTCTCTGCTTGCAATCTTTCCATTGCTCCAGCAAACCTGTAACAGAGGACAATAAAAATTGCCTGTGATTTTTTCAAAGCTACAAATATCTATCAAATATGCAATGCAGAGTCCCAATATTCTACATATGAAGGGGACCTAAATATACATCAGTTGCAACTGAATATCACTTCCAGATCTTTCAATGAAGAATAAAGCGTGAAAAAATTCCACACTGGGGGTAAATTCTTAATTTGAAAAATACATGTACACATGTTGAATACAATGCCTGTTAAGGAAAGCACTCCACCCTGAGCATTAGCTGAATGACCACTGGCTTGAACAGCTCATAAAGACAAATGTTTTTCTGAATTATGTGTTGCAAGTGAAACAATAAAACAGTGGTCCAGAACCCTTGAATTTCCCTGAGTTTTAGTGGGATTTATCTGAACAGAGTGGAGAATCAGTCACCAGTATGTTACATCAAAAAAAGACCTATACAAAGATTTAGTATTTATACAAACACACTATTTTATTTAGTTTCATAATTAACTCATAACCTCTAAAAGCTAAAATGTAATGTGTAGACTAAACATCCCCAAGAAAAGAAAAAAATTTCAGCCTAATACATCCAAATTTGAAAGAGCTGATGCTGAGTTGAAAGCTAAGACACATATAAGCCTGACTGCATCAGCAGAGTTGTGCCCTTGCTAGGCATTGCTGGTTTGAGTGGGACTTCATGAGAGACTGTCAGCAGACATTTATTTGCAAAATTAGAGGTTAAACTGTCAAATGAGGAAAGTGAACTAGCTTCCAGGGAAATGATGTTTATTTTACCATTTTAGAAAGTAGTCTAAAGGCAGTCAACATCTCAGACCACTACTATGTAAAATTTCATACTAATACCTCACTACCAATTACAAGAGAGCTTTAAATAAAAAAGTTATTTTATGAAACACACTGGGGAACATGCATTTTGAAGTTTATCACAAAATACATGAATTTTGACAGCAAGTTTCAGCCTAAAGTCATTTTTCAGTTAAGTATTACAAATCATTAGAAGATAAAGACTGATCCTAATTATATGCTTTCTTCAAACAAAATTATAAATAGAGCAAATGTTAAAATTTAATTTAAAATACCAATTCTAAATATTAAACATCCTATTTGACTTGTTATGAAAAAATCAATATTTGTTTAGATCTGATTCTGGTTTCACTTTTGGCAAACTAGAAGACACCAGAACTCACATATAAATGACACAGCATAAACCCAGTGAAGCACGAGTGATGCTTATTTTTTTCTCTCAGAATCACCAAGTCTTTGAGAAGTGAGCTGAATTCCAGTAAAGAATTCACACACTACATAAGGCCTAGATCAGCAGTGGTTGCAGTTTTCATACAGAGTCCTTTTACATCTCTGCAGGGTTTTTGTTCAGTTGGTTGGTTAGTTGGTTTTTTTTTAAAGGAAAGGTAGAATTTCTCACGAGACAAGATGTATTTAATGTTATTCCTTCTCTTTATTCACTTAACATGTAAGATCTACTTGCACACTTCATATTATACTCCTCTCTCATTATTCTATTTCAGACCTCTGGGACTAAGGCTGCACAGCTACAGACTTGTAAACAAAACGTCAAAATCATTAAGCACTTTATTACATCAGAAATGCTTTTGGGCAACGCATGATGTTGCTTTCCCAAACCATTACACAATGTCTTCTTCAGAAGCCTAGAAAGGTTAAATCCATATAAATCAAATTGTAACAAACACAGTTGTCTTTCTATGACTGCTTCTTTCAAAGAGATTCTTGTAAGACTAGACAAGGACTCACCACAGTTGTGAAGAGTAGTCTACCGGTTTAGGAACCTAGGACATGAAAAGATACAAGAGAAGAAGGATCAAGAATTTTTTGTACTCAACACAGATTAGATAGCATTGATCTAATTGTCAATATCCAGACAAAAAAAGTTAAAGGAAATAGATAATCTAATTGGTTTGCAAGTCTATTTTATTTTGAAGGAAGGTATAATAAAGGACAAATATTCCACAATATTTGAAAGTAGTGCAGAATATTTTAACTCTGCTGCTGTGACAGATCTTTTTACTTAACGGAACTTTTAGAAGTTTTTCTGACAATGCCTACATTTAAATTTCAAACACAAAATTGCCCAATTCTACATACTGTGGAAAAATATCATTAAAACATGCAACAAAGTAACAGTGTATAAAATTCACTTCATATATGACCTTAGAAAGACTGTATACTAGGAAATATAGTATATAATCTTCTGAGAAAGTTGAGGATAATCCAGAGATTGCATTGTATGACATCATTCATACCTTTGTATTTGACTTGGTTAACTTTTGTACTGATTTTAATAAGCATGGTATTTGATTCTCAAATTCCATTTAAAAAATTAAGCAAACTACACTCGGTTTGCAAAATAGATATTATATGTATACATAAACATATGCATAGATAACGTGTATACATGCACAAGACGCGCAGTATAGCAATTCCCATGAAAATCAGCATTTCATCTTGACCATCTCCCACTGTCGTATGATACTTTGGTATTACCCTACTCTTCTAAAACAACGTGTGACACTTGTAAACTGCTGAAAAATTTATTTTAGTGGAAGCTTAGCACACATCTTGCAGATTTATAACCTAATGTCATATACTCTTAAATAAGCAAATGATTTCTTTTTTTTCTTCCAGTAAAACCAAACAATGTTTTATCATTTTCTAGAATCTAATAGGGAAAAAATTACAGGAACATTCTCACATTTTATTTATGATATATGAAACATCTTCAACAGAGACTTCAAAACACAGCTCAACTTGGGAAGATACTATTATACAGGCCTACAAACTTAACAGAAATTGAAATAAATTACAGGTCCCACTAGCTTGACCTCGGGTATCAACTGACATCTTTATCAAGTCTCTACACCTGACCTCTGTAACTTCCATCTCTACACTGTTAAGATCCATTTCCATGAACCAAAACGCTTACAGCCTTTGACATAATGGTCCATCAAACTAAATACATAAATGCCCACTTGAATGTCTCTCAATTCAAGATTTTTATGATAAAATTCTGAATTCTACAGGACAGCCCAAAAGTTGTATTTTTTTTCTAAATAACAAGGCAGACACTGGTGTGGAACACATTCAAAGTTCTCTGTGACAAAACCAGGGTCACACATTCAGCTTGCACAACAGTATCTATTCAGGTATTAAACCAGTCATTAAGTTAGTCCAGTTCTTAAGAGAAAAAGGAAACATGCATTACTCCCAAGTAGTGTAGACAAAGGGCTCTCAAACAGTAGCATTTGTAATGCTGGTGGTGTCCAAATCGCTTAGTGCAGGGGGCCTAACACAGCCAAGTACTACCACTGACAGCAGCACTGGCACTTCACATCCCTACAGCTATTCATCGTGTTCCACAGGCACCTCTGCTTCTAATGGTGAAACTTGGAAAAAGTTAACAGATTATGAATATGCTGACAAAGAATTTCTACAAGAAATGTTTTCGTGAAGGGACCAAATAAGACACTTCAAGGCCAACTAGGCATTTACAAAGTCTTTACATGCTGCAAGATATTTAAATAATATATTTCATCTACAGAAGAATTGCACCTTTAATGATTTTTATCATCCCCTATAGGACTAATTAAGTAACATGCATTGTATCAGCAGCAGGAAAAGAAAGAAGAGTTTTTAAAAAATAAACGTTCTTAATTTGTCAAGTAGTCCTGCTATGTTGGAAAGGATATAAAAATTCAAAGACGGTTTAAGTCCATCCTTCAGAGCTGTTAAACAACAGATGAGTAGTCCTCTTCATTAATTTCGAATGGACAGATACATAGATAGCAAGTGTTCTTCATTGTCATGAAATAGAGCAAAATCAAGTGTTATTCCAGAAGCTGTTGGCTCATACTGTACTATGTCTCCTATGCCTCTATAGAAAAAAGAAAACTGGAAGAAAGCTGGGAAGAACCAGTTATTACTCATATGGTGCAGAAAATGTCTGCTGACATATACTACTTAATGGAAAGAGGAAAAAAATGTTTATAGGTACATCTGTGAAAAGTGTGGAATACAGATATTCTGCAGCTCAGCAGTTTTTCATTCAATATTCATTCCTGAAGTCTTTTGATGTATGTATTTTATGCTGTTTCTGAGCATTTTTATATCTGCTGGTTGTAAAGACTGTTACACTTAATAATAACAGTAAAAGTTATAGCATGTTTAAAATCTGATTGATGTTTCAGTATCTTTAACTGCATCATTTATCATAATAAGATGTTTATATTTCATGCTTCCAAGTTAACAGTGGTGAAGCATCAATTTACCTTTTTGTTCTGATCATGACACCGGTTGGTAACATTTAATGAATAATATTTATTCATTCTGCAAAACTGTATTATTTCCAATACTCCTCTAAATAGTGTATTTCTAAATTTAGCAGCAAGTTTTATCATTAGAAAGCAATCTTCACAACACTCCAGTAGCGTTTTTTCCTAACTTCGGATATCCCGCTTCCTCTGCTTTAAAGTATAGCAGTGTTTCCTAAAATGTTGCTACGGTTGCTGTCAATGATACTACACAACAATTGATTGGGTGGCTCCGAGAACCTAACACTGATACACAGCGGATATCACCCATGTCCAGGACAGTGACACCATGGCATGGCAAACCCTTAACTTTTCCAAAAAGCAAGGAGTGGAGCAAAGAAAGCGGAGGGCCAAAAAGTTGAACCGAGGGCTAAAGGCACCTCTCCTATGAAGACAGGCTGAGAAAGTTGGAGTTGTTCAGCCTGGAGAAGAGAAGGCTCCAGGGAGATCATCTAGCAGCCTTCCAGTACCTGAAAGGGAGTCTACAGGAAAGCTGGGAAGGAATTTTTTACAAAGGCATGTAGCGATAAGACAAGGGGCAATGGCTTTAAACTGTAAGAATGGAGATTTCAATTAGATCTAAGGAAGAAGTTCTTCACTGTGAAGGTGGTGAGACACTGAAACATGTTACCCCAAGAAGCTGCCGCTGATCCATCCCTGGAAGTGTTCAAGGTCAGGTTGGACAGGGCTTTGAGCACCCTGATCTAGGGGAAGGTGTCCCTGTTCATGGAAGGGAGGTTGGAACTAGATGATCTTTAAAGTTCCTTCTGACCCAAACCATTCTATGATTCTATCAAGTTCACATAACATTTCCATCTTTATTCCAGATCTGTTTTCTCATCCTAACATACCCTGTACCTACAAGTATTCTGTGCATTCCTCTTCAAACAAAATTCTGAAAATACAGGGTACTAAAGATGTATCAAGATATATCAATGTATTTACATTCTTCATAATCACATGTGTATTTGTTTTAGAAGCTAAGGCACAACATAAGCCTTAAAAGCATATTGAAATGCAGCTGATTCCACCTTCTTAGAAACCATTGAAGTGGCATATCTTGATTACTGTAATAAAAGCAATTATATTAAGAATTCAAACTGTTGTGAATCAAGTTAAAAAGTTAAAACTGTTGTTGTGGTTTAGGCCGCTCCAGCGACTAAACTCCACACAGCCACTTGCTCACCCTTCCCCAGCCCCCGAGGATGAGGAAGACAATTAAAGGAGAAAAGGAAGAGACACCCGTGGGTTGAGATAAGAACAAATTTAATACTACTACTAATAATATATAAATATATATATGTGTACAATGATAAATATATATGAACGAGTGATGCACAGTGTAATTGCTCACCACCCCTTGACCGAGGCCGTCTAGTCCCGAACTAATGATCCCGAAACAGGTAAGTCCTGACACCACAATCCCGGACAAGCGAGAGGCCCGAAAATAGAGAGCAAGACAGAGAGAGCACTCATAGTCCGAGAGTGAGAGCCCTGGAAGAGCAAAGCCCCTTCTTTCCAGCTGACCCTCACTTTTATTCTGGGCATGACGCTGCATGATATGGAATACTAATCGGCCAGTTTGGCCCTCAATCCGACATCTAAGTACAAATCGTAAGGAGAGTCGTGGACCCCCTGTCCCAGCTATGCTCCCCCCATCCTGTTGTGCTCCTGCACACTAGCAAAAACATGAGAAGCTGAAAATCCTTGAAGTCTCAGTGCCAACTACAAACATCAGTGTGCTGTCAGCATTCTTCTCAGAGCGTCTCAGACTAGAACCAAAACATGGAGCTCTTCTGACTGTTAAAAAGAAGAGCTAACTCTGTCCCAGCTGAAACCAGGACAGCTGTCTTAAAGCAAAGTAAGGAATGTGATTCATCACTGGTTTTATGGGTTTGCATCAATTAATCTCAACAAAGGGACATATAGTAAATAGTGTTATAGAAGACAGGGAACGAAGGAGCAAGCCTACAGTATATCAATGTATCATCACATCTGTATACAAAACTCTTGAGTACATATTATAAAATAATGTTTCTTATTGTTTTCATGAAATTTTCTAGATTGTGAACATCCTTGTGTGAAATAAAGGCAGGTAAGAACCTACAGAGAGGAGAAAGTTTACCGAGCAGACTGAATTCGAAGTTTCATATTAGTTCTACTCTCATGTATTTTCAAACACACTACTTATGGCGTAATCCCTCTCTCTAACCCAAAGTGACTGGGTAATAGATTAGAACCACAGCATTCTCACCTTCCTGCTGGGAAAGGCAGAATGCACTTTCATGTAAAATGTGTTTGTTCTATACTCTTGAAACTCTTTAGACAGATCAATTTATTAATATTCTCAAAAATTAAATCTGCTTCTCAAAGAGGTTTTCTTAACATGTTCTATTACATTTGATAACCCAAAGTATGAGTGCTGTATTTTAAGCAATATTGAACATATCATGAAAACACAAAGGAATCAGAAACAACATGGTTTTTGTAAGGTAAGATTAATAAAGCCATGGTATGAACTAGGCAGTTTTTCTGTAAGATGACAAACAGAATTAAACAATTGTACTTACACATGGGCTAGGCTTTACTGCATCACTTGGGAAGAATCCAAGCTCTCCTGTTGTTAGATTTCTGCCCTAGGGAAAAAAAAACACGACAAAATTTTCCATTTTTGAGACATAATGGGGATTAACAGTAAATAATAACACATGCATAGAGATTTAGGACAACAAGAGTATATCAACAAGTATTTAAAATAAAATGCTGTTCTAATAAAGCTTTACTCAACAGTTGTGAGGGTTTTGCTGTACAGTTTTTTAAATATTTAATTAATAATTATAGCTGATACACCTGAGATCTCTAGGAGACGAGATGCAAGAAAGGGGCTCAGAGTCTGGGTTGTAATTCCCAGTTCTGTCAATGTCTGCCAGCATCTGCTATCTTCATTAACATTAATTGTCTCCTTTCAAGTTACATCCCCCTCAGTTGGCATCACTCTAGTGAGAAATGCCACACTGCCATATTACGGATACCCAAAATGACTACAGCACTACGCAGCTGCAGTTGCAGCACCTGAGAAATCATGCTAACTCCAATGGGAATTTACAGCTAATAATCCATCAGTTGATTCGGATGCAAAGTTCTATAGTTAAGGGCTTCCATAAGTGATGCGAGTGATTGGAAATCGTGTGGGCATGAGAACACGAACAGAATTAAAGATTAACTCTCTGTCTGTGATATAGTCACAATATGTTGTAGATGCATACACACAACTGGGAGATCAGCTGCGGATATGCATCCAGCATAGCCTATACTGACCATTTTATGCAACACAACCGCTGCCCCAAAGTTGCAGGACCACTAATTTAGTCTGAGCTTCTAAGGGTCTAAAGTGACCTGATCATCAAAGCCATGCCTTAGCAGCTCACAATTCACCACCAAGATCTCCTGAAGAATGCCTCCTCAGCCAGATAGAACAGCAAAATAAAAACACCTTTCTATTGCTAGTAAACATACAGCTGTGACCATGCTGACCATGTTTTTCAGAGCAGAACAGAGCACATAACTAAAATTTCTAAACACAGATACATAAAATGAAGGCAGCAAAATGTGTGTTTTGGCATGGCAAACAAATGTTTTCATTTAACAGATTTTTAAAAGCACATAAATGCCTAGCCTTGATTAAATTTAATATACTGACTGTAAACATAATACAGTATCAGTGTTTGGCAACAAGAATAAGAATGAGTACTTTACAAGCATTGTCACCTTGAAAGTTACATTTATGACATGCCTGCAACTTAAAAAAAAAATGCTTCAGAAACAGACATGGAATTTCTTTGAGGCTTTACTTAATTTTGTTTCTGTAACACTGAATGTGTAATTGTACTCTCATACCACCACATAAAACCAAATGCAGCAATTTCAAAGAGGGTGAAGCTGAATGTAAAAAAGCAAGAATTAATGGACGGATTACAAAAAAAAATGAAAACGTTCTGTAATCATGATATCCTAAGCACAACAAATGAGTGCATCATTTTCCTAGGGAGATCACTATGCAATTTATCACACACAGATAGTGACCCCAGTAACTGCCATTTTTACCAAATACACAGAGAAGTGCAAAGGGGAGAGAAAAGCAGATAAGCAGTATTTAAGCCATAATACGCTGAGTAACAATGATATTAAAAAAAACATTATGTGCAAATAAGTGACAATCTTATAGATCTGAACCTCTTTAGCAAAGCATCCTTGCCCTCTTTCCCCCTATCTGTTGAACACAGGTTACCCTTTGCATCCATAAATTCAATTTACTCTCGAAACATTAATCTGTCTGAAGTGCAGACCTAACTTATAAGCAGAGCTTTGACACAGTCTCCCAGCCAATTGATACTTATTTGCAATACTAATCTTATCTGAAGAGCAAGTGATATCACAGTCAATAAGACCAGCCACTGAATAAAATACACTAATGAGAAAAAGCTTTTGAAGGAGCACAATTGAACATTAGTTTTGTATGTGCCCACACACCATTGCTCTTCATGAAAGACATTTATATGAAGTCAACGAAGCTGAACAAGATGACACATCATGTAACATGTGTCCACAACAACTAGAAAGCAGCCAAGGATCAAAATTTGATGAGCTCAGGGACAGATTTGTTTCCTTCTGAAAGTGCTAAAAGGGACATCATTTCAAGTGCTTCCTCCTGTGAGTCAGAAATACAGTCAGGATACTTACAGGTTTATCTCTTACTGTTTTTCCAGAAACATATTTGCACACCTCGAAATCTAGAATGAAAGCTAGCTTTGATTTGCAGACATTTAAATGCTTCAATCTGCACTGAATTATACCAAACCGGTCTATTCTATGACCTCAAGTAAAAATTTAAAAAAAAAATAAATAAAGCTGCATTACAGCCACTGAAGAAACTGTAGCATGACCAGACCATGAGACAATATGATGTAGAGCCAGCATTACATCATCTGGCTTAGATACTGCTAGCAGTACACAGGGATATGAATCGCAGCTTAAAAACACAGCGAAGCAGCAAAGATCACAAGACTAGCTGTGGTCCACACTGGTTAAATCATTTTCACAACACAGACATTACAACACATACACATTCAGAATAAGGAAACTGAACTGCAATCCACAGGCTCCATCGTAACATACACGTGCACTTTCACTTTAAGTATTCTGCAGGTAACAAGTCAATGGCACTTGCAGCAAAAAATGAACCATCTGCAGGACACTGAACATTCATTGAAATAAAATGCTGTGAAACTACATCATCAGTGGACAGACTTATACGAGAGCTACAGCATGAAGAAATACTCTCTGCCCAAGCAACAATTCTACAATTTCCTTAGATGTCACCACTTGTTGGAAAATGCTGTTCTGTGCAGCTGTGGGACGCAGATGTGTCACTTCATTGGGCTAGGAGAGGCTACAAGTATGCCTTCTACGGACAGCATACCAGGAACAAGGAAAAAGCAGTACTAGAGAAGTCAAATGCACATATTCTCTCATCGCACAAAATATCCCCAAGTACTACAACCAGTACAAAAACTTCCCTTTGCATTTTGAGCAATATCATGAATGTAACAAGCACTGAGACAACCTGAGAAAGGGCTTTGTCTTCAGAAGAGATAACCACAGATGGCTTTGTTAGTTCAATAAAAGCAAATCCTTAAACAGAACAGGGTTTCATTTATTACATATTGCTGAAGGAAACATCTCATTCTAAAATGCTCTGCCAATAACGAGCTCATACGAATAATGTGATAATGTCCTTAGGAGACAAGGTTATTTTGTTTACCTTGAGAAATCCTAGCTAAATTCATCAAGGCTTGGTGTCACTATACACGAAACTATGACCTGTTGTCAGATGATCATTTCAAAATTTAAGATCTATCCACCAACTCATTAACTACAGCAAAATTATTATTATTTAAGATCTATCCATCAACTTTTTAACTACAGCAAAATTATTATTATAATCATTTCTTTCTACTCTATGTTTCCTGCTTTGGAATTGCTTTTTGTTTGATGAGTAAGCATTTCCCTTGAACACTTCCCTTTAACAGCTAATGGCTGTTATAAAAGCAGAAGCAAAGGACTAGACAGAACTAGTTTTAAAATGTATACTACGAGTATACTATTAAACTGTATTTCTAAATTATTACACTATATCTAATATAACCAATGGCTTGATGTCCAAGTGGAGACCAGGGAGGAGTGGCATTCCTCAGCGGTTGGACTGGTGCTGTTAAACATCTTTGTCGGTGACATGGACAGTGGGATTGAGTGCACCCTCAGCAAGTTTGCTGATGACACCAAGCTGTGTGGTGTGGTCAACACGCTGGATGGAAGGGATGCCATCCAGAGGCACCCTGACAGGCTTCAGGAGTGAGTCTGTGCAAACCTCAGGAAGTTCAACAAGGGCAAGTGCAAGGTCCTGCACATGTGTTGGGGCAATCCCAAGCACAAAAGAAGCGTGGCCAGTAGGTCGAGGGCGGTGATTCTGCCCCTCTATACTCATGAGAGTACCTGGAGTACTGCTTTCAGCACTTGGGGCCCCAACATAAGAAGGACATGGAGATGTTGGAACAAGTCCAGAGGAGGGTCACAAAAATGATCCAAGGGCTGGAGCACTTCTCCTATGACAGGCTGAAAGAGTTGGGGTTGTTCAGCCTGGAGAACAGAAGGCTCCAGGGAAATCATGTAGCAGCTTTCCAGTACTTGAAAGGGGCCTATAGGAAAGCTGGGGAGGGACTTTTTACAAAGGCATGTAGTGATAGGCCAAGGGGCAATGGGTTTAAATTGTAAGAGGGTAGAGATTTAGATCAGATCTAAGGAAGAAATTGTTTACAATGAGGATTGTGAAGCACTGGAACAGGTTGCCCAGAGGAGCTGTGGATGCCCCATCCCTCAAAGTGCTCAAGGCCAGGTTGAATAGGACTTTGAGCAACCTGATCTAGTGGAAGGTGTCCCTCCCCATGGCAGCAGGATTAGAACCAGCTGATCTTTAAGGTCCCTTCCAACCCAAACCATTCTATAAAACAGATAGCAAGTATTAAAATATATATTACAAATATGTGTGTGTATATGTGTGCCTACAAATTCATATATATAAAAGACTGAATGAAGCCCTTCAGTCCATTTCTTTCAATGACAGTCTTTCAGCAAGGCTAGAGGCTGACTCATGACTCTTGTACCTGTTTTAATGAGGGAGACTTTCTGAAACCATTTGACACATTTGCTCTGTATTTGCAGACTACTGCCTGCTACTAGCTACGCAATGCCCATTAACTTCATTGGACATGCAGAGAACTAGAACTCCAGGATAGCTAAAATTTATAAACAAACATGTCCTTCTCTCATTTTCCTTTTGTTCATTGAAGTGTGGCGAAGAGAGCAAGGAGACAGACAAAAAATTACTAACCAAAGGGAAATAAAGGCACTTTCAAAAGGCACTTTTACAGTACTGCCTCCCCAGTGTTTCATCTTTATATCATAAGTATATTTACAATACACTTAATGCCTTTTGGTTGTTTACAGCAGGACCACTAACTACTGCAGCGTTAGAAGGTACAAGTAGAGTAATATAGCAGTAGCTATTACTTGATATGAGTTTAATTGGCATCAAAGAAAAGCTGGTTTTGAAAAAAGGGAATCAGTTCAGGAAACATCTGTATTCTTTTGGGTTACTTGAGAAACATGATTGCCTAAGTATGGTAGGTAATTGCAATGCAAACCTGTAAAACTAGAACTACATTATGTAGGCACTGCGGCACCCCTGAAAGCCTACCCTGAGGTTAAGCAGTTACCAATTTACTGAAATCAAACTCAGAAGAGGAGAGAAACATTAATACCTGTAATGAAAATCTGACTACTTCAAAGCTGCACTACTACAGCTGAATAACTTTCCATTTAAAATACCAAGTCTTATCTCTCCACCCCCAGCCCCTTCTCCTTTTCTTGGTTCATTCTACAAGTGATGTTAGCCAACGCCAGCTAGGCAAGCAGCATGGATCTTCTAGTCTTGCACCTTGACTGACCGAAGAAAAGCAGTCATGCAAAAGGGGATGCATGAGTATCAGCATACAACCATCCTTCTCTTTATACTAGCTAGGTGTTTACTGAGGAGAGTAAAATAACTTGTGATAGGATAAGCCCATCTATATTACATGTTCTCCTTGAAGAAAGCTTAGGGTTTGGATGATACCAATGAAAGACAGAAATTAAATTCATGGAGTTCAGAAATGCTTATCCCAGTCATCTTATTGTCTCTGTGATCGCTCAGTTTGCCTCTCAGAAAAGTATTTACTGTTTCATAAAGAAAAAAACTCATACTTCTCCTGTTTTCAGACTGCTTAACAAGTAGATTCATATTTGTATACAGTCTTGAATTACTACAGAACTTACCACAATAATTGCTATACAATCAAACATTAACTTAGCAGAATTTTCATGTCTATCAAAACTTATTTCATTGTATTTAAGCTATAGCTTAAGTATTGCTTAGTAACTTGCAGTATCTATCCGATGTACTGTAAAAAAAAAAACCAAAAAAATTACACTTAAACCACACATACTTATCTATTACAAGCACTTCAATTTCTAAACTGAGTGGCAGTTGAATTAAAAATCCATTCTAATATTAGCCTTGGAGATCAGCTGTAAATTATTCTAAAATACCTCTTAAATAAAACTTACAGATTTTAATACAAATTGTGTTTTGCTGGTTTTTTTCTTAATACATATTTTAGAATTCAGATGTCATTACAAGACTTATGAAAATCTGTATTAAGCAGTGTGTGATAAGACAGCCTGTGAGAAAAAAAAATCCTTAATGATGCTAATGGAAATAACAATTGTCATTAAGATTCAAATCTACTACTAAGGCTTTTGGGGAAAAAGCCTCACACACTTTCTGGTTCCTGCTAGTTAAACACAGTGAGATTCTAGCTAAATTCTTTAACATGATAGGTACAAATAACAAATTCCAGTACATTGAGCTGATGGATACACACGAACACAGTAATAGAATCAGTCCCACAAGGTGCCAATAATTCTGGCTTAAGTGCTTCTCTGGATCAGAACTCAAGATCTTGCAGAACCAAGCCCTACATATAAAACTACATGGGCCAAAATCTGCCCATCAACATTTGAAAAAAAACTTATTTTTAGTGGTCAAATATGTACAGTCTGCCAAGTAACAGCTGCAGGGGCGTTGGAGGCGGGGTGGGGGAGGGTGTTTCTTGGGTTGGCTTGTGGGGTTTTTTTGGGGGGGTGGGGAGTTTACTGTTAAAGTAATTCTATTGTTTATGACTTCTCTCCGTTAAATGTTGTTCGGGATGATACAGTGGCATAGGAATAGAGTTCACTGATTCGGTCCTGAAGAGTTTGGAGAAGATTCAATACTATCTGAAGCCAGCAAAAACAAACAAACAAACAAAAGAGCACAACCTAACCTATGTAACAGACCAAGCAGTTTTTATAATTGTATTCATTAACCCATTATAGCCTCAAAGAAATAAAGTCACAAAGACAAACACAGGAACAACAATTCAAGACAACAGATGCTTCCCAGTTGTTGTTCTTTTAATATCCCAAAAGTTCTTCTATTTAGCTCTATTTCCATTTATACTATAGTATAAATAGTAGTATGTAGGATTCTAGTACAAACAATCAAGAAAACAATCAAGAAAAATGAGACATAGTGTAATGCATTTATCTTTAAAGTGAATGAAAAATGGCATTTTGAATCTGTTTGTAGTTCTCAGTTAAAAAGAAATTTCAGTAACAGTAGTAGTGATGCTAATCAGGTGATACTGAATTTTGTCATCAATAGAATACACTTGTCCTACATACATAGAAAGCTGTTCTTAATTGACTTGAGAGATCATCAAGAAGTTTAGGTGTGGTTATGCTTTGCAGAGCTATTTCTCTCCCCTATAAATATAATATTCATAACTGAGTTTTGCCAATATTGCTTTTAGTTCTGCTACATTAGAGAAGCAGCCAGACCTTTGCTGTTTATGCATCACTAGAAGCATTGCTACTCTAAGGCTGCAAGAATGAAGCTTTACACAATATAGGAACTACTGGCACTTTAAAAGTAAAACCAGCTGTATTAGACATTTATTTTGGGTAAAACACAAAGATATTCTTCTGTTGTTTAAAAAGGAAAAAAGTTACAAGAGCAATATATCAATAAGAATTTAATATCTGGGACTAATGCAATATAGTCATTTGCTAAATGATACAATACCTGCCAAAATAAGCTATGTGCATCTCCTCTAATTAGTTCAATAGTGTCCCCAATCTGGATATGCAATGGTGGGCCCTCTTGTGTCGCTGGCTGTGGTATTCCACTGTAGTTTCGAATTACTTGCATTTTTGGTAAACCTGAACAAACAAACAAAACCTAAGTCAGTATATATTTTTAGTTAATGACAATTTATAAAATCTGAAGATCACAAAAACAATCAATCAATAGAGACACACTATGTCTTTAACAGGTACCTGACTAAGGCACTAAGGCAATGTCTTTATACTATACCACATACAACCTAATAGAAATGAAACATCTTTGTCCTCCCTTCTTCTTGGGATAAGGTTGATTTCATATCTCTGGAGGCTCTTTCCTCTACATGTGCACCTCTGGCTCTGCATAACATTCAAGTATTAAGGATATCTTTGTAGTTCCAAGGCAAAAATTGTAATGAACTAGTATTAAAGGCACCAATATGGATGTTCTCATCAACTTTAGATCAGTAATACCAAAAGGCCTATTGTTGATGTGAACATGTCCAAGAGAGTAAGGACAACAATCCTTCTAGGCTTCTCATAACACTTTTTCTTCCTTTTGTTTACTTCTTTTAATTTTCAGGTTTTGACAATATTCTTGGATACACATAGCAAAGCTTGGATCAATTCAAGCTTTCACTTGCAAGACAAGAACTCTAGCTGCACACTAGTCCTTCCACATCGATACTAGCTGCATCTAATCAGCTGATCTAATTTTTTTTAAATTAATTTTTTTAAATAGAGCAATCCATTTCTTGAGACAAAATATTTTCCCCAAAGATCAGTGTCTCTACCTGTACAATGAACTAAATCATTGTTTATAACTGCAGTTCAAGAGCCCTCCACAAGCATGTATCAAATATATGGAGTGAGGGGCAGGATTTCAGCTGGAAGAGAAAACTGTGGGTACCGTAACTCCATGTTCTTATAACTATAACAGCATTTAAAAAAAAACCCAAACACTTAAAGTGTTATGGACAGTTAGTACATTGCATTAAAAGTGTGCTGTGATATTGTAAGAATACTTGAAATCAAGTGAAGTACCACCCACTCTGTAACAAACATAGTAAAGACTTAAAAGCCTTTAGAAAAGCATTTTTTTCCATTCTTTATACTGCTAAAAAAAGCATCATTTTAACAGTACAGGTCTGTTTTCAACTACTCTCCCTCAGTCTTTAAATAAAACCCTATATAATAATTTCCCCAGTTTTAACTGCTCATGGGATGTTAAAAATTGCTACAATTAAGTGGACATATCTATTTACAATCTTAAAGGTTTTGGTTAAGATTTTCTAAGAATGTATGTTAATAAACAGAAATAAGAGTGAACACATGCAAAGGCAAGGTAGCTGGGCTGCCATATTTAACCAGTTTCTTGCTGCAGAGTCATGATTAACTTAATTGTAATAATGAAGGATCAGCAGGCCTACAAAAGACCTATTTCTGTTGCAAGATCATTACTGTAATTTAGGTGGCAAGAAATACAAACATCCATGATCTCCTCTAAATTGTATGAAACATGAAAGAGATCATCTTCAATAATTACTACTCTCTGTAATTTAAGAATAAATACTAATCCAGAGTGCTGATGAAACGTTAAGCACAGTAATGTCAGCTCTTATGTTACTCAACCCAAATGACACCATAACTTTTACTATTTCTTCAAGTTATCTAGCATACTTGAAATAAGCACCTAATTATTAGTAAACCATTATTCCACTTAGGTAAAACCCAGACTTTGCTTTATTTCTCAACTGAAGGTTCTCATGCTTTCAAATACTGATTCAGCATCAATGAATGTTGCATCTATTGTGTGGCAAATAGAAGCAATGCTGCACACAAGTATCTACTCAAAGCTGACAACTTTTCCTAATGCAAGGAAACTCTCTCATCACAATATATAGAATAGCTCTGTATGTGTGATAAACAAAATCTAAGCATGCAGTCATCTTAGAGACATACTTGGAAGTCAAAACAAATGCATACAAAGTTATTCATGTTGTGAAACCTTGTATCAAGTGACTTAGATTTTTAGATCAGATTTTTAGTATGTAGATACGATATACTTAACACACTACTTTTGTATTTATCTCATCAGAAGATAATCAAGAAATATTCTCATGCACTTCCCAGTGCAAACCCTGGTTTTTTTTTTAAGATACTATACTTCTGAATCAATAAACATGTAAAATTATTTCTTATTTCTATTTCACTGCTAATTATGATTATTGACCTCTGAAAATCAGATGAGGTAAGACCATGCTGTGTCAACTAGCAGAATTATTCAAAAGGTAACACAGAATTAATCATATTAAAACATATCACGCCCAGAATACTTGTGTATAATTCAACATGCTTAATTCTGTAAAATCCTACAGTACTTCTGCACTTCTGATTATAAAATTCCCTCGGCAGATACAATGTTGGAAGATTTGATCTAACACCACTTGACATCACTGGAAATAATCCTATTGATTTAAATAGGCTTTTGGGTTAGGGTCTTAGTCTTAACAGAGTTCATTACCTTGCTTCAGATCCTTTCTTAAAACTTCTTTGCCATAATGCCTCCAGAAACAATGACAACTACAACATTGATGTGCTCCAGCTGCTCTCTACTATGGTGATCAACAAGTCTTACTCTTCTAGAGTAATTGTACTATCTACTTTTATCAATTGTTGTCTTTGGTCTACTTACAAGTTCTTTGTGCTCAGCATTGTCTTTGTTATGAATACACAATGTATTCGCACCACGACCAGACCTACATAAACCAGCATCTGGAGTAAAAGGGATGCATGGCTGGGTTTCCCATACGTTGAAATAACACAGAACACCACTGATATTTCATTAATTACTGTATTCATTTCATTTTCATTCACCCACTATAGTAACATATGCTAGCTACAAGGCCACTGATCCAAGACGCATGTATAAACAAGGGAAATTATTTTCTGGTGCTAATTATTTAAGCACACATTAGATTTGACCCAGATTCTGAAAAGTATCTCAACATACAACGACTGAAGGTAATTTCACTCTCCAACAAATGTGTCTGAGTCACAGAGAATACATTCACTTCAATACCAGCAATACCAGACATGCATAGACAGCCTGTATCAATCAAAGATATAAAAGCAGTGAGCGTGCTAGCTGATGTGTTTTACTCGTCGTACAAAAATATCATCAAAAGGACCTGTCCCTGTTACATGATTTCAAACGTTTTTTAAAAATCAGTTTTTCCAGGAACAAAAGATTAAGAGAAGTCTTTGAATCAATCAGAAACAAGCACATACTGTTCTGGAATAGCTATTTTTCCATGGGCAAATGTTCTTCTCACAGAACTTCCCTTATATGACCATTAAGCAAGGAAGAAATAAACGGGGTACAGAAAAGTTAATAAATTGAGGTAAAGAGCCAAAGAGCATCAAACAGAATACTTATTTCACCATATAATTACAGATTTGATAACAGTAGCTCAGAAACAGTTTAGCAAATTAACATTATGATGGCGTTCATTTAAATGGACAGATTTTGGTCAGCCCTTCACCTCCTAATCTATACAAAGTACACTGGGGTGTGATGGATCAAGTCCCATCCATCATTATCACAGGAACCAGCTCATACAATCTTTCAGCTGTTTAGCAAGCTTATCCTAAAACTAATTTGCTTGTTCGTAGTGTTCATTTTCAAACTTTATTCTCCGGGAATTCAGAATCTTCTGCCTTCCAGTGTAAATCAGTTCATGGCCAACTTATATCCACTCAGAGGCAGCAGTCTGAATAGCTCTTTTGCTTGTCTGTATTTATTTTCATAATGTAGTTAGAAAGAGCAATCACATCCCTTTTAACCTTTGTTTTGCTAGGCTAAAAGAGCTTGGCTCGTTTAGCCTCCTCTCATAACAGATCAATTCCTCTGAAGCAGTACACCAACTGCTTTACTGAAGTTCAGAGAGACAAGATCTAGAATATTTTCCTTGTCTGTCTTGAAATTCCATTATTAATTGGCACATGGATTCATCACAAAAATACCCATTAAGAATTCCGAGTACTTGCTGTAATATAATAATGCAGACAAGAAAAAGCAGTATGTTACAGAAACCTGAAATGGTTTAAGTGCAATTATGGATTATTTGTGATAGAAACAGTATAGAAACATTACACATTAATGACTACAATGTCAAATATGATAAGCATTAGAGACACTGCTATTGCAATGTACATAGCTGCAGTATTCAGATGGCTGCAGAAGACTTGTGCAAATGAATATGGCACAAAAATGTTATTCATTAATATGTTTAAAAATAGATAAAATCCCAACACAAAGGACAAGGTCAGGATTTCAGCCATGCATTATCATAATTAATGACAAAAATCCCATTGGCTTCCATGAGGTCAGATTTCCACATGACTGAAAGCTTTCGTCAGGAAACTTCGTAGTTTAAAGTTGCAAAACCAGCCTGACAGCTTACAACTAAAAAGCAAACTGATCCAGTTATTCCACCAATAAATAGTTGAAATTTACTTCACTTGATAATCAGGAAAACCCCCAGAATCCTAGAAAAGCCTTCATAGACAAGCTGTGGTTCACAGACCTAACACAAATTGGTGATCTAAATTGTAGCTCATGAGAAAAGCAGAGAGAGCATGCTAAATCAGGGCTTACAAAAAATCGGTTTGGCTACATTATAGAAAAATAAAATCTTGCATAAACAATACCACACATGTGAGTATTTAATCTCACAGTTATGAGTCAAGGAAGAAGGTTACTTTTTAAAATTAACATAGTACATGTTAGAATACTCATTATGTATGAAATTATGAGAACATAAACTACTTATATTCCTTACAGCAGCTCTGCCTTTATGAACGGCACTGTAAGACCCTCAGAGTTCCATGCAGAGATTCAAAAATGTTATTTTTTGCTAACAACATGCATAATGCATGCCCTATGATGACCTCTATCTGTCAAAATTGATTCCAGCATCTGTTACTTCCAAAAACGCAGAACAAAGTTTATGTTTTGGACAGGGATTATTTTAACATACAGAATAATGACACTGAATATAGCAGACCAGGGTTCAAAGTTGAATTTGTGGATATAC